ACACAAATCCACAAACACTGTAGGCAGGGTAAAATTAATCAGGTTTGGACTGCAAAGATTACTTTAAATCCTGATTATGAGGCAGAAGAGGGGCCAGCACACAGAACACACATTTTGTGAGATGTTGATGAGACTCAGTGTGGCTGTGAAATGTTCTATCACTGTTTATAATCTTACAGGACTCAAAAACATTAAGTAAATCCTGATTTTGAGTTGTTATTTTCTTCCTGCTCTTTTCCTGTATTTAGTTTTTTGTGACTGTGTTTTTTTATTTTTATAATTGTTAAAGAAATCTCATTGAAATATATGGCAAGAGACCCCCAACTCAACCTGAAAGGTGTAGTTTAAAGGAGTTATTTCTCTCTCTTTTAGTTACCTAGTTCTGATACCAAAACAACCATCCAGTAACAGAATACAACAGTGAAGGAGTGCCCCATACTTTTGTCAGTATTGATTATTCAAAAGGAAAAAGAGCCTGTACTTCTCTTCTGGAAAATTAAAGCAGCATTTTATGGGAAATATGTTTATTTGCTTTTTTGCCAAGAGTTAGATGAGACGATCAATACTATTCTCTTCATTAAGCGATTTGGTTACAAATTCCACATAAAAGCATGTCAATTAACATACTATATCAACTGGGTTTAATCCTTACAAAACAACACGCTATGGTTTAAATTAGTTGTTTTCCCTTGTTTCCAGTCTTTACGATAAGTGAAGCTGATTGTTTCCTGGCTGAAATACTAACTTTCAACAAGAAAGCAAATAATAGTTCTCAAAATGTCGAACGATTCCTTTTATAAATGAGGTGAATGACAAAACATTGAACACACCATCAGTCTGGAAAATGTGAAAGGCTTGAGCCCTATGTCACTTAATCATTACAAGAGCTTATCATGTGAAAAAAAACAAAAATAAAACAATTCAAGACAGTACATTTATTATTGCCTACTGTGGCAGTGCCCAGAGTCAATTTGGAGAAATTACATATTTTACTGTACTTTAAATGATAAATATTAAAAAGGTAAAAAATAACACATGGTAAAGCAGAGCACCCTACACATTCCATACTGTTAGAAAAGTTAAGGATTATTTATGAACATACAAAGAGGGTTTTAGTGCAACAAATACCATGCACCATGGTGACATTCAATAAACAGACATGACCATTCATGAATGAGATAATACTCTCTCACTGGGTTGTTAACCAACCTGGGATAATAGCTTGATCCGATGTTACGCTTTAAGTCCAGAGCAGGTTGTGTGTGGGACCTTGCACCCAGAAGGGGAACAGCTGAGAAGAAAGCGAGGGAACCAGAGAACCAAAGAGAACAAACAGTCAAACAACGGGACTCACCACAGGAAAGCAGATCCAGTCTCTGGACTCCCCTTTGGAGATCTTTGTCATCTGTGCACAGGGGGTCTGCGGCTTTTTCCAGACATCACAACAAACACACACAGACAAAGGTACAGTACTGGATGTATGATGGTGATTTTGTTTTCAGCAGGTACTTAATACTGAAGAGAAACATATTGGATTCACACAAACGGACACAACATATGTTTACTGTTATATTTGCTGTCAGTTATCTATTTTTTTTCCTTAGGATATAAAAATGAACTTTTTTTACAAACTTTTTTTCATTGTTTAAATATGATTACAATTGCTTGCATTATTTTGAAAATCATAGTTTGAAGGGTTTCGGTGAAAATCTGGTAGGTACATTTTAAAGGTAGTCAGTTCTGTTACATTCAGTATTCCTCTGTAATCCTCACACTCTCAGATGCCTGTGCAGTATAACAACAACAAATCCAGTTTCTTAATTAGTCTGTGCCTGTGTGTGTGGTACACTAATACTGAAGAGAGAAAAGACATTCACACAGTTATATTATGGGGACCAAAGTTTTGTCCCCATAAGATCTATCCTTTATTCTCTAAAGTCTGAACAACTTTCAGACATTGTAACACGGTCAGGTTTGGCAGAAAGGAGTTTAGCTACACTAATCAACATTTATATATTAACAATGGATCAAATAACTACATGTAATGTGATTACGAGTCATATAGGCTAATTATTACCTGGCTCTGCAAGTCTTCAGGTCATTTTAGTGTTTTTTAGCTCATTGTTTTGGTTTTACAGCCAGCATCTTAACTGCTCACTGCTTGCGTCAAATTCTGCCCAGCCTCAGCAGCAGTTTAAAAGCTCTAAAAACCGACAGTAGGCTAACCGCCCGGCACCAAATATTGGACAAACAAGATTAGCGACGCACTTAGGAGCTAAAGAGCCAAATATTTCCTTCAGGAGTTGTTGGAAACCAAAACAGAGTTAACAGGTGAGTGAATATTGGACTTGGTCATGGTCAGAAACATGACTTCAAATTAATGCTAATGTAGCTCAGTCATGTCTACTGCACATTAAATCTCCAAGTAGTTTGCTAACATGTTAGCCATAAGGAGATAATATGTCAATGTGTTTTCAGCTTACTGTACTGCCCCCAAGTGGACAAAAAATATATTAACGTTGATGCAGATTTAAGTCAACACAATGTTCTTACAAATGACAAAAACAAGTGCGTGTCTGTAAAAGATCAGCCACAACTGGTGAATAATAATAAAATACTGCTTTCCTTTAAATGATCCCCCATTATGAAAATCTAATTGTTTTTTACACAGAATCTTTTGATGAAGTTAAATGAATGGCTTTCAAGCGTTTCTGTTTTTACGTGTGACCTTCAGGGCACTGTCACTTTAACGTGGATGAAGCTAACCGTGATCAGACATGATTAAAAACCCATTTCAGAAATGACTTGCAGGCATCCCTGTCAGGTCTTTTTTATTGGGCACTAGTCTGTGCTCCCGGTAAACTGTCTGTAAAAGAAGCAAGCATTTTGGTTTCCTCTTTGTTTACACTTTGTTTAAGCATATATGTGTTTGTGTTTGCCTACAGGGGAGAAAATGAGCACTGGAAGACTTCAAAGTGGTGGGAGAGACAAGTGCAGGTAAGATGCCCATACAGACCATGTCCTCTTCTTCTTTGTCCTGTAATGGTCTTGTAAGAGTACAGAGTAGGAACAAGAGAGAGAAAATGGTGATGAAAGTAATAATTAGAGAAAGCAGGGACCTCAGGTAGAAACGAGTGTATGTAGAGACAAAAAGAAGGTATAACCACCTTGTACAGTGTCTGAATTACTAACCTTTATAAGTAGCTTTAAGGGTTCTGATTATGGGTCTTTGCAGTCTTTGCTCTGTAATAAAACTTAAATAGTCTCCCTTTCATCATTCCTCACTGGACCGGTGTGAACCCCTTCAGTTATCCACTTAACACTCTTGCTTGCTAAAGAATGTGCCCTAAGTCTCTCCATGTGACATTGTTACATGAAGTGGCAGGGAGAACTGGGGCACCCAAGATTAGCATTTTTTATTTTCTAAGTGGCAATCTCTTTAGGTTGTTTCCATCCCTTTTGTTCCTTATATAGTATTGTCCCCCACAGCTTTCCAAAAATGAAAATGCTGTTGACTCTCTGCTATGATTTATTGTTTGAACTCTGCCATCATAGCAGCCATTTTGGCATGAAATAGTAGAGTAAACAGACACAGGTGTTACCAATGATACTCAGGGAGCTGCTATTTTGCATTTTGGCACACTCTGCTACACTAAATGGAACAGAGCCTTAATTAGTGGCATTTTAAACACCTGTGTTTACCCTACTATTTTATGTCACAATGGCTGCTGTGAAACAGGTCTATTCTGGAACTAAACCTTGCATCTAAATTTGAATATCTCAATATATATGTATATTATGTTACCATATTTGTCCTGTTGTTGGCTTGCTAGGATACAGGGCTGCACAGTTAAAGTAAAAAAAAAAGAATGATTTTACTAAATTGGAAAATCCGTAAGCCAAAATATTTTTAAATAGAAAAATGGGAAATTGAATTCCTAAACCTTTTTTGGTATGGAAGGAATAGCTGAGAGGATTAGCGATACTGAATACAGTTTTGAAATGAACTTGGATCAAGTTTTGAAATGTGCCTCAGCATTATGTCACAGCACTGATGGTTTTGACATCTTTAAGTATTAGGCTAAATGGGTTGGAGTTGCTTCATGCATTGTGTACTTCCAAATCTTTAATACAATTTGTCCACTAATAACGGTGTTGAAACTCTTGTTAATTGGAATTATCTGAGCTTTTGTTCTAAGGAGAAAAAAAATAAAAGGACTGTGTCAGAGCGTACAAAACTGCATTTAACCCCCCTCACTTCTCTCTGGGTTTATAAAGATAACCTTTCACCGAGGGAGACTGGATTGAGGCCCAAAGAAGCTAATGCTATTGTGTGCAGTTGTCCTCTCACTAATGCATGGCTATAATTGCAGTGTTAAATGCATTGTTCAGTGTACTCAGCGCTGGTTGTAAACCTCTTAGGGATCAGAAGGGTTACCCAAAGTCTTGCAACAATACTCACAATGATGGAGGGTCAGCCTCCGGTCCTCCTCTTCTACTCTCTCTGACTACACACACTCACTGGCAAATGCACGCGTGTTCACATGCCCTGAATCCTGCCTGCGATTATAGTCCGAATCTGACTCATTCTTGCCCACATTCCTGAGTCGACCCCATTGCTTTGTCCGTCGTTGCTCTATTGCTGCATGACCACACAGGGCTCTGCCACAGAGAGGACTGCACCAATACAGACAAGCTTCTCCCTGGACTTTTCAAGTTTATCATCCTGGCAAGTTTGGAGGACCGATGCGCATGAGGAGAAATTTGACTGACGTTATTTCCAGTCGTCTGAGCAGAGTGGAGGCCTCTTGCATCATATGGCTGGAACCAAACCAACCAAAGAAGTCTGAGGAGAAATTCTTCTGCTGGATTTTTCCTGTTGCATTTGCAGGACAGCATCTTGTTTTTTTATTTGAGTGACCTTAAACAACCTTCCTGACCTTGAGTGCATACAACAAAACTAACACCAGGAAGACTTTTTTTGTGTCTAAGATCCAAAGATGGACCCCTTGACAGACAGTCCACGTGTGCGCTCAGACAGCATGAGCAGTTCAGCGTCTCAGGGCTCAAGGTCCAAGACGCTCCTCCGCCAGCGTTTGTCCCAGCTGCTGACCTGCATTGAGGACATGAGCTCTGACGATGAAGCCAACGAAGAAGTGTCCCGCACACTGGATGAAGCGTTTCAGCTTTGTGGGCGCTTTATCCCCACAGACGCATTCAGGTTGAAACATGCTCATTCACACATACATACAAAATACAAGTTCACACAAATACACACACGCAGGAAGTGTTTAAGTCCTCTGAAATAATCAACAACTTATTTGACTTTCTCGCCTTCTACCCCTTAGAGAAAATTACTCATGCTGTAAATGTTTGATTGCATCTGGGTTTCTTTACAGTTTGGCACTTAGTGGTTTCCAATTATCCATAAAAGACTGAAAAAGAAAAAAGGGTGTTAAATAAGTAAACATGCTTTTTTTTACTTGATTATTTTTCCACTGTCACAAACAAACTGTTGCTGTATTATATGTGTTATATGTTGTGGAAATGAATAGGTAGCAATGTATAAATAAAGTAAAACTAAAGTACAACTTAAAATATACTTATATTAAAATGGTTTGTTTTCCAGTATTATTACTGTTAATATATTTAATAGAAAATTTTATACAATTACTCTGAAGCGTAAGTGTATTTACAACAAGGAAAAATGTAGCAATGCAACTAATATTTGTCAATATTTTCTCTTTTTTTCTTTACCAAACAGGCTGCACATGGTGACCTGGAACGTGGCCACAGCGGAGCCTCCTGAGGACGTCATCTCTTTGCTGCAACTAGATATCCAACCCCCCACAGACCTCTATGTGATTGGGTGAGAAACGACAATATAGAATCTGGAATTAAAAACTTTTGCCAAGAATTGGACTGAAGGATAAAAACATATCTTTTAATCACTTGGGTGTATTTGGTGTGTGTCAGCCTGCAGGAGGTGAATGCTGCCCCTGTGAGGTTCATCTCTGACCTGCTGGTGGAGGACTCCTGGAGCCACGTCTTCATGAACGCTCTGGCACCTAGAGGCTTCGTCAAGGTGAGAGAAGACAAGGGGAAAGAAAGGGAAATAGTACTGTGTGGACTGATATAAACAGAATGCATGTGAGTGCTTAAAGAGCTGGTATGAATAATAGTGTCTTGAAAGCTACTGTATGCCTCTAAAAATGTATATAACCATGGGGTTACTGTAATTGAAATCCTCACAATTTTTGACACTGTGTACTTATCTTGTTTCATTTGTTTTTTATATTTAATGCAGTATATTTACATATTCTCATATAATCAAAATCACAGTGCAAAACCCCTAACCCCTAACCCTAACCCTAGAAAACTGAACAAATTCAATAAAAAATTATAAAATCTATCTCAATCTCTGTCTAGGTCACATCAATAAGGATGCAGGGTTTGCTGTTGCTGCTTTTTGCCAAACAAATTCATCTCCCCTACATCAGAAACATCCAGACCACATACACTCGTACTGGCATCTTTGGCTACTGGGTAAGGAAACACACCGGTTAACCTTTATAAACAACAGCACTATTAAATCCTGCACACCAGGAATCCCACTGGCATCAGATGCTGTAGAGTTTAAACACATTATGAAAGGAGCATTGTGTTTGTTTAGTGGAATGTGCAGCAGCTTTGACAGAATGAAATCACAAAGAAAGAACTACACAACACTAAAGCTGGTGCATTACACTGGGGCAAACAAATGTCTAATCCATAATCCAAGTTATTTTGGAAAGGGGGATTAAGTGGTGGTTTTAAACTACAATATGTAGTATTTTATTGTAAATACTGCAGTAAAATGAATCTGTATTTTGACTTATAATCACTCTGCATTTGCTATTCCTAAAAGATAAAAATGTCACTTTAAACTTCCGCTTTACCTTTCATTTCACATTCTGTATTCCTCCTCCTCTGTCAGGGTAATAAAGGAGGAGTGTCTGTGCGTTTTTCCTTCTATGGCCACATGGTGTGCTTCCTTAACTGCCACCTAGCAGCTCACATGAACTACGCTCTGCAGCGTGTTGACGAGTTTGAGTACATCCTGGATACACAAGACTTTGACATCTCTGACACCCCACATATCCTGGACCACAAGTCAGTACCCCTACACAGAGGCTCATAAACAGCCACACACACTGTGAAGTATAAGCACTGAGGGTTCATGTATAGCAGGTAAAGTAAGGCTCCTTCCCTCTCACACACAGGGTGGTGTTTTGGTTTGGCGACCTGAACTTTCGTATCGCAGACCACGGCTTGCACTTCCTCCGCTCGTCCATTAACAGCGGACGCCTTAATTTGCTGTGGAACAAAGACCAGGTGACGCACATAAACACGTACACACACAAACACACACACACACACACACACAATAATGCACACTCACAAATTTATTTCATGTTCCTGCAGCTCATCATGATGAAGAAGAACGAACCATTCCTGCAGGAATTTGAGGAAGGGCCATTGAATTTTAAGCCCACCTACAAGTTTGACCGTAACTCTGATACCTATGATACCAGGTAACATGTGCAACAAACAAATGTATTACACAAAAATACTCTTTCTCAAACTTCATCTGTGCTCTCGTTTCCGTTTGAATCTTGCACAGCACTCCGAAGACATGGTTGGGTTTTAAGTAAGACTTTGTTTTTTTTGTGTTGCATGCCCCACCTTTACTTATTTCTTTGCCACTGCACCATCCTTGTCCTTTCCCCCCCACTTTTGCCCTCGCATCTTTAGCTATAACAAAACATGTAACCCCTGAGATGCATTAATAGGAACCCAAAGCAGTAAATCCTGACATAAGAGATATAGTTAGGAGCAGCTCTTTCTGTGAGTTGCATCCATTCCTGACACTAGCACCATGTATGTGTCTCTCTCAGAAAGAGCACTGTGGCACTGCCCCTAACCATGTACAGACCCAGGCCCCTGCAGCGCTGCAGCACCACCCTCCTCCTCTTCCTCACCTCCCTCACCTGGGGGCTGCTCTCTGTCTGGTTGGGGGCCTGGTACAGGGAGCTAGACCCGCCAAGGTGGGTGTTTCCATAGATATGTAGGAATAAGAGAGGGCCCCCTACTATAGAATAGGCACCTTGAAGGTTATATGACCTACAATCATCAGTCCAATAACTGGAGACATTGTTATAAATGACAAGGCACAAAGGGGTTTATTAGACATAATAACATTGATCTATTGCACACATGAAGAACTGAGACAACCCCCTCCTCCACCCAGCACCCCACTGTTTGTTCTTGCATAATGTATATGTTGCTTTTTATAGTGAATGTGTATACATAAGCTGTAATACTATGTTCAATAGTATTCTCCACTCCTGACATCCATTATTTTTCCACAGCATGCTACACTGTAGGTATAGATGTGCATTGCGTGTGTGTGTGTGTGTGTGTGGTTTGTGTTCTTTAACAGCACTGTTTCCAGTATTTTTGTATAAAAATAAGAACTGTTAGACACAAATGGAAATCTGACACATTGGGTAAGTATCGGAAACAGATAACTCAACTCATCCTCAAATTGGAAACTGGTATCAACACTTGCCTTTGCTTCCCTCAGTGGCAAGAAAAGGAAACCTGCCTGGACCGATCGGATCCTCTGGCGAATCAAACCCAAAGCCCCGCCTTCAGAGGATGATGATGAGAAGGCATCGACTTCTTCTGACGATGGACTCGATGAGTATCCACTCCTGGTCACTCAGGATAAATACACCAGTGACATGAGCTATGGAGTCAGTGACCATAAACCTGTCATTGCAACCTTCAGTCTAGAGGTGAGAGGAGAGGATGGTGTATGCTAGGGCTTTGTCCTGCTCAGTTCTGTTAATCACTACATATAAGCCTGATTCTACATTTCTGCATTGCTTAAGCTCCTTCTCTTGTTCTCTTGTTTTTCTCACAGCTAAGGAAGTGCTTTGACACAGCACTGGTGCACATATCTCCTGAGGGTGTATGGAGCGCCGACCAGAATGCACTTCTTAACTACACCATCCAAGAGGACTTCATGTCCTCCACATGGGACTGGATTGGCCTGTACAAGGTACTGGGACAGACATAGAGGGCAAATAAACCAACAATAAAATACAAGACAGATTTGAACTCATGAGGTTGGTCTCCTGCAGGTGGGATTCAAGAGCGCGTCTGATTATGAAACCTTTGTGTGGGTCAGAGAGGCCGAGTTGCCAGAGATAAATGAAGTCATACAGGTACATTGCAAGTGGGGTATTTGCATCATGTTTGGGCAAATTCTTTATGAATGCATGCTTATTAATATGTGTGTGTGTGTGTGTGTGTGTGTGTGTGTTTTGGTTGCAGATATCGGTGGATAAGGATGAGATCCCTCTGCTAGGTGGACAGTATGTTTTGGGTTACTACAGTACAAACATGCAAAGCATTGTTGGCCTCAGTGCTGACTTCCAGGTGAGTGTACCACTAAAACATCCGTTGTTATACCTTATACTGTCAGTACCTTTTTAACATTTGTTAACCTAGAAGAGGATTGGGTCAATGCCCTATGATACCTCTGTCCGTGCTTAATGACATTTATTGTTGCCAGAAATAAACAAAGGGCTTAAAGGACCAGTGTGTAGAATTCACTGGCAACTAGTGGTGAAGATGCAAACTGCAACTAGAGCCATTGTTTGGTTTATCTGTTCTGGGTTACTATAGAAACAAGGTGGTTCAACATGCCAGCCTGTGGAAGAGAACCCCACCCCTCTGTATGTAAAAAACACTCAATCAGAAGTAACAAAACCACAACAATTCTTATTTTACACCAATTAAAACATACATATGAATATTTTTTTCCATTTCTGCCAGTAGATCATCAGAAATGTTACACACTGGACCTTTAACTAACACTGAAATATGTGATACCAAATAGTACAAAGCACAGTTTCTATGACCAGTTGTAAAATAAATAAATGAACTACTAATAAAAAATGTAATGGGGATATTTGTACCTATTAACATACTGTTAACAACAACAACAACAACAACAACTCCATAGGATATAATAATCATTATATTGGGATTTTGGATATCTGGTTACTTTACTGAACTGTCATTATCAACAAATATAAGATTGTTCCCCAAATACAAACATATAATATGTTTATCACCATTGTATTATCTGAGGGACCAGGTGGTAGCAAGTATTACACTATGTTATACACTCAGTGGCTATTTTATTAGGTACGCCTGTCCAATCTAATGCAATCAAATACCACTGTTCTGCCATAAAGTCTATTTTTATGATGCCTGTCACAGAGGTGTTAATTCAATTATATGTTTGACGGTGTGTACTGGACTGCATTACATATATAGGTGTTACTAATATTCTATCCCCCTGGGTAGGAAGGAAAAAAACTAATTAATTGAATTGCAATAGATTGTACAGATGTACCTAATTAGATACTGAGTGTATATTCACAGTAGGACATGTGCGTTCAGTTGAAGAATCACATCCTTGTTTTGGTCTTGCAGATTCTGGAGTCAAAGCGTGCCGTCATGGAGGGCCTCGTTCCTGAGAACATCAACGGGCTCAACAAATAAGAAATAATCACTTCAGTGCCACATCTTATTCCTCTCCCCTGGAAATTCACACATAATTGATTCAGATTTTCAAATGCCCTAATATCATCTGCTTAATCTACAGGATAAGCTGATTTAGTCATTAAAGGCCAGCACACTGTGCCATCACATGGACTGTAAACTTTAATGTGTTCTTTCTAACTTTGCCTTGAAGGAGTTCACTTTAAGTCAGATTCACTCTTGCTGGAACAGTTATAACCACAGGCCTTTTTTGCCTGTAAGAGCAGGATACATGAATAATAAGTTAAGTATTGTTTCTGAAAGTAGAGGATATGCAGCGCAGGTCAATACAGTCAATTCAGAAAATACATATTGCTTTGGTCTACATTAGTGCCAGTGCAATTCTATGTTGGTGCAGGCTGTTCTTCTTTATCTGTACTGCCATAATGCAGAAATATACATCTGGTAATTGAGTCTTGCTATGGATTATTTGCACCAACTATCGGATCCAAGTGTTTTAGGGTGGAATTATAATGACGAGAGAAAGATTTAAAATATAATGCACACATGAATTCCTCTAAGAACATTTGATGTAAGATGTGGATGTTGATGTAGACCTCTACTGTCATATATTGGTTTATAACAAATGTATGCAATAATATAAGTCTAATGTGTATCATGACAGACTCTAAGGCATAAGATTATATTTTGAATTTAAGTGAAATAAAGATTTTAATTAATTATTTATCTATCTTGCTCTAAAGGTCTTAACTGTAGTTTCTCACATTAGTGCAATACAGGATGCCTTTTCTATTCCAATGCAAAAATGATGATTGTTGTCATAGAAGTGTCAAACTTACACTGTAATACTTTCTCCTACATGTGTGTGGAAGTGTGTATATTTAGTTGACTGATTGATTGACTGATGAAGTGAATAATGTCACAGCAACAGCACACAATCAGGTTGTGTATTTGCATTACATTATCCGTTGTTGTAAAGACTGTATATGAAGTGACGTGACTTCTTTTTAAAATGTTCAAACAGGACTTCTGTTTTCCTCTTAATGAAAATATGTTAAACCCCCCCAAAATGTTTGAAGTCAAATTAAAACTGAAAATTTCAAGCAGACTATTATGGTTTATTGACGTATTGAATAAGATTTGTGATTGTATTATTCATAAAAATCATTAAAAAAAATTTAACTAAAAGGTTAACGACTGATCAGTGGGGCAAGTGAGAGTTCTAAGTAATGTAAATGACCAATAATTCAGCACCTCCAGTCAAATATTAAGACGTATGGTCTGCGTGGAACTGTGTCTGATATGTTTCTTCCACAAAAAACATAATTTCCATATTAAATACCTTAAAACAGGCTTCTATCTACTCCTTCTACCTCATTAAAAAATCCAGAATCTATAAATATGCAAATTGTGTTCATTTCTGCTGGACACAAGATGTCCCCTACTTCACTGTAAACTCCACTCTCAGTGTTTGTGCAAAGGTAGCTTCAAGTTTCTACATCACTTGTAGAAATTGCAGAGTGGACCAGATTTTGTTTTATAAACTATCTGTGATGTCACAAATCATGTTCCTAGGCCCCGCCCCTCAAAATTAAATACAATTTTCAATAAGCACATATAAACTTTCCACTTTTAGCAGATGAATGTGAAAACATCCCTCTAGTGTCAAACTCTGCACATGCATCATCCTGCACAGTGAAGCTCAAACATCCCACTGTAGGAAACAAGAATAAAAAGATGCTTTTGAGCGGAGGGCGACTTTAAGACAACACAACACATCAACACTGATTTGAAAGATAACGAGCAGAGCAAGTGCAGAAATATAAAGGTGAAGAAGAGTATAAAGCAATGCGGCAATCTATCAGAGAAAACGAATTACGGTTGTTCCTTTCCCTTCATTGCTCTCCCATAATTCATTGCGTGCATTCACCAACGTGACAGCTCCGGTTGGTGGAGTATCTCCCTCCAGAGGCTCTTCGGTGGTACACACGTGGGGAGCTTTAGCACATCGTTTCCTCGCTAAAGGTAAAGTTTTAGCGCATGTACGCGCCAATCCAGTGTCATATAAAAGTGTACAGTGTTGTGTAAACATGGGACGGTTGTCTTGTTGTCCTGGGGTCGCTGCTGAGAGGAGCTAGGGGTCCAAAATGCTGGCTAACAGCAGGCTAGCAGAGTTAGCTTCCTTGGTTGACCTGATAGACTGTGGTTGACATAGGCTAAGTGAGCTGGAAGTAAAAACCGCTAAACCGTCTATTTCAGGTAGGATTTGGTCCAAATGTGTGTAGTAGTGATGTTAAATATGGCTCTGCGCTGTCTTAAAGTGTAAAGTAACGTTAGTGAGTTAACATTAGGGACATTTTGTTGGTTAGTTTAACTAGCTGTAATGTTGTCTTCATTATAAAAGTGAGAAATGACAACACATCATGGGGACAGTTGTGCAAAATCTGTGTTGATGCAAATCCAACATCATGGTTTGGACTTTAAGAGATGCAGCATCCATGATCCCATTTAAAAACATGATCTGTCCACTGTTACTGTCTTATTAGAGACTGGATGTGTTCTTTCAACCAATATAAGTTTAATATTTTACAGCAGGGAACAGCCATTCAGAAATCTCCCAACAACTAAAAGATATCATCACCTTTGTGTACTTACAATATGTCATTAAATAAGTATAACTTGTGTTTTGATAACTTCATTTATGTAATGACATATTTTCGTTAGATTTGGATCCAAACCAAACAGAGGATGTCGAGTGAGGACGTGGAGCGGCTGTTGATCCAGTTTCAGGACGAGGAGGGGGAAGTTCTGGGTTCACCTTTTGATGTGCCCCTCGACATCACCCCGGACAAACTGCAACTGGTCTGCAATGCGCTGCTGCAGAAGGTAACCAGCAAACTATACAACATAAATATAGAATTTAAGTTGTGATTATACTGTACACCTGTGTACTTGAAGAGTTTTCAGTCTTATTTGTTTATATCTACAATATTTACTTTTAAATGAAAATGTGTGTCTCAGTGTGTACAGTTTGTCATTTTAACTGAAAGAAATATTACTATGCTACAGTGGAAATACTGTTCCCAAATCCTATGATTTAATAATGTCCTTATTCCTGAATTGTAGGAAACACAAATATCTACAGACATCATCTCCTCACACCTCACATGTCACACATTGGTTTTTGTTTTAACCTCTGTCAGGCACAGTTATTATTATAAAGCTTCAAAATCCAGTAAATATATCTTGTTTTATTTTTTCCTGTTATCCTCGGTAGGAAGAGCCAGTGCCACTGGCATTTTTTGTGCGTGGAGAGGCTGAGGTGGTGTCTAGTCTGGGGTCTTGTGTGAAGGCTCTTGGGGTCGAGACAGAGCAAGTTCTGCCAGTGGTGTACCAGCCTCAGGCCGTGTTCAGGGTTCGAGCTGTGGCCCGCTGTACCAGCACACTGCAGGGACACACAGAGGCTGTCATCTCAACTGCTTTCAGCCCCACCGGCAAGTGAGTAACTCTGAAACAGTGCTTGTTTGTCGTGCTTTTTTTATGCACTCTGATTTATCACACTTGGCGCCCATGTTAACATATTAACGTATGAAACATATTTTTAAACTCAACACCTGAGATTAAAAGCTCTCGTGTGTCTGTGGACAAAATCCATTCATATGTTAACAGGGGTTCCATTGTACTGTATTTATCAAATGCAAACTCAGTATAGAAAGATAGAGCTGTCAGCAGGGTTCCGCGAGGCAGCCGTCACACACTGCTCCTGATGATATAACAACAGTCAGAGGGAATCAAAGTGTACATTTTGTGATGAAGACACATCCCTGGGTTTGTTTCAGATATCTGGCCAGCGGTTCAGGTGATACCACAGTGCGGTTTTGGGACTTGACGACTGAGACGCCTCACCACACTGCCAGAGGTATCAAGTCACTTCTGTAGGGCAGCATGAGCTGCTGTGCATCAAGATACAAATGATTTAATGGTTGTATACACCTGTTGAGTTATATTCTACTTTATTTCAGGACACACACATTGGGTACTGAGCATCGCCTGGTCACCTGATGGCAAGAAGCTGGCTTCAGGGTGCAAGAACAGTCAGGTGAGCCTCCGACCCACACACACACATACTTCTGAGCTGTGTTTTATCCCATGAACTTTGGTATATTTATCTTTTCATTTCTTTTCTTTTCTGGTGCTGTTTGAGTAGATCTGTCTGTGGGATCCTGTGACAGGGGCACAGATGGGGAAGACTTTGACAGGACACACCAAGTGGATCACATGGCTCTGCTGGGAACCTCTCCATCTGTAAGCGCTCAATTCGTCACTTCTGTTTGTTGCCGCCTATTTTACTACTGACCTGAACCCTCATTCAGATGCAGCTTCTGTACTACAGTACAACAACTATTGGCCTTTGGCCATTTTGACATGTCACATTAGGAAAAACACAGGCATAAATAATACAATTTCACCATTTCAACAGAAGCTGCGAGTAGAGGGGCCGTAGTTAGTTCAGACGTGTCAGTAATAACGGCAGGAAAGAGAGGAGCGAACCGTGTCTTTCTTATCTTTTTAGAGAACAGAGAATGAAGTTTTTAAAAATGAGTTTAGAAGAGAATGCTGATGGACATTTTCATGGAAGTTGTAGTTATTTGCTAACAAATTGATTTTGAATTGGGACTCAAAGATTATGCTCTAATTTTCTCTGATCCGCTCCTTCCCTCTCCTATTCAGTAACCCAGAGTGTCGGTATTTAGCCAGTAGCTCAAAGGACGGCTCAATAAGGGTCTGGGACACTGTGTTGGGGCGATGTGAGAAGATCCTGACTGGACACACTCAGTCAGTCACCTGTGTGAAGTGGGGAGGAGATGGACTTCTATACACTTCTTCCCAGGACAGAACGGTCAAAGTCTGGAGAGCCAAAGATGTAAGTGTGTGTGTGTGTGTGGCTGAGGCAGAAAATGTTGATCTTGCGGACATACTGAGTTGATTGAGAGGGAGGAGACATCTGCATGTCAAAGCAAAACTTAATGTGTGACTATTTATATTTGTGTGTGTGTGTATAGGGTGTCCAGTGCAGGACTCTGCAGGGTCACGCCCACTGGGTGAACACCTTGGCTCTCAGCACAGACTACGTTCTGCGCACTGGAGCTTTTGAACCCGCAACTGCCACTATCAACCCCCAGGACCTCAGTGGATCATGTAAGAATTATGGAACACTCTTTTGGGACACAATACCTGAGGAAACGATAAGGAAATCTTGTTGATGTTTGCAAGAGGATGTTTTCATCTAACGAGCATTTTGTTTTCCCCCAGTGGAGGAACTGAAGAATCAAGCTCTGCAGAGATATAATAAAGTTAGGGTAAGTACTGTTTGTTGTCAGTACTGATGTGTTCCCAGTCTGTACCTCCCTTGTATCTGTGCCTTCACTCCTGTTCTCGTGCTGCAGGGTTCAGCTCCAGAGCGCTTGGTGTCTGGCTCAGATGATTTCACCTTGTTCCTGTGGAACCCTGCAGAAGACAAGAAGCCTCTGGCCAGGATGACTGGCCACAGCGCTCTGGTCAACGAGGTGCTTTTCTCCCCAGACACCAGGCTCCTCGCCTCTGCCTCATTCGATAAGTCCATTAAAATCTGGGATGGACGCACTGGAAAGTAAGAACCTCTCAACCACTAAGAACAACAAAGCTCATTTTGTCTAGTAGATCATAAATGAATCTGTGTAATCCCGCTGTTGTCCAGGTGAAGGTGCTGTAGGCCTAAGATTTGTGTATGTGTGTGTCACTGTGTACCTTATCTCTGCCTGCTTGTCCATTCATCCATAGGTACTTAATGTCCCTGCGTGGCCATGTGGCGTCCGTGTATCAAGTGGCGTGGTCTGCAGACAGCAGGCTGCTGGTCAGTGGCAGCAGCGACAGCACACTTAAAGTCTGGGACATCAAGACCGGGAAGCTTAACATGGACCTACCTGGCCACGCTGATGAGGTGAGTAAAAGGAGGAAAAAGTGCTCCTTCTTGATAAATGTGTGTGGATTGTAATTTTCTGTCCTTGTTTCTTGTGCCTGTAGGTTTATGCGGTAGACTGGAGTCCCGATGGACAAAGAGTAGCCAGTGGCGGGAAAGACAAGTGTCTCAGAATGTGAGTGTAATGCCAAGACATCATCGTTATCTTTTCTATCAGTTAAAGTTAGCTAACAGCATTTACACAAACAAACCTAACCCTATTTCCTTGTGTTGCTTTCCTAGATGGAGAAGATAGCCACAACTGTCTCCCACTCTCCTAACTTCGACAGATAATTTCACATCTTCTGCTGCCAAGAAGCCTGACAGCTGGAGCGAGGGAGGCTCCATTTGGCTTAATTACAGTCAACAATGGTGTCGTGTCAAGGAAGTCTTGGTCCTGTAATGATGCAAATGCCCTCTTAAGGTTGGAAACACGTGGGAATATTAACAATGTAACACTGTAAAAGTGTTTAGCTGAGTTCATGCACATATTGTTTTGTACACATTGGGGCCCCGACGTGTAAAGAACATATAAATTCAAAGCCTTGTTATAGTTCCACGCCCACATTCAGAAACCACAAACAAGGTTATTTATTTAAAAATGAATACATAACCTACTGCTTTAAATTCTGATTACCGAATATATTCTGAAGAAATAAAATGAGATGCACAGGATTTATGCAGCACATAAGGAAAACTGATGCATTTCTCAGCAGGAGTGTCCCCTTCCTTACCTTAAGCCTTACAAGATGAACTATAAACTGTAGGTGACAGGTGGACCGGCGAGGCAACAGGTGGGAGCGCTAATACCTTCCTCTGTGATGTTAATGCCGACTGCGCTCGCCCTGCTCCTTCAGCCTTTAATCTTCTCTGTCCTGCAAATCAGTAAAGCTTCGACCTGCTGATTTTTCTTTTCGCTGCTGCAGGGAAGCAAAGTGTCACCAGAACTCTCAGATCCCACTGTGGAAATAACCAGGTTCATCATTTAAAATAACCGTTTTTTATTTTCTGTATATAACTGGCTTTGTGAATATTTAATATGAATAAATATTTACAGCACAATTTTTATCTTGTCAAGCCAAACCAGATAAACTGTATTTTACATGACGTGCCTGATATCAATTTATACTCTTCCATTTAGTTTAATAATAGATTCTATTATCTATTGTCACTGTACAGATAAATGTTTTTGTACTGGTTGTAATACTTCAGAAATGCTGCCGGTAAATCTTTATTTGCATCCAGTACAGATACATAAAATTTTGACTTTTAAACTGTCCACTGATGTCATGTTACTAGACATTTGCTAGAGCTAAAATTTACTTGGCGGGAACTTTGAAGTCAGTGTGAGGGATAAGATAAAGGCCTGCCTCTGCCGTCCCCCTTACAGCTGACATTAGGTGCCTCTTCAGTGAGCCATCATGGTTGTAAGTAATAAGAATATTTCCTGTTGATTACAAGAAGAGGGAAGAAATAAACGTTGTCCCTTCTCTAAAGTCACACACCCAGGTCCTACTATTGTTTCCACATCTGAGTAAATCAGTTTATTTAAATTATCTGATGTCTTAACACCACCAGGGTCACACAGATCAGGTTTATTAATGACAAGTTTATTGAAACCAGGTCTTAATATGTTTCATCAAGGGCTTCCACATATGATCATGTACAGTAAAGCATACTGGAAGCATTGATGTTTTTTAACAATATTTCTTTTCTGATGTCATACCAACATATTTCTTCAACACAAATTAATCCTTCCCTCTGCTCAACGGGACCCTCTGAAATGTGAATGATCACACCGAATCTGATATGCTATACGACGAGATACACATGCCTGTTCATGAAGACCAGCAAAGAGTCTAAACAGTAAAAATGTGTGTTAATGAAAACAAAATGCTAGAGACATAAAAATGAAACAATATTCTGATCCTCTTGGTTTAAAATGTAATAAACATTTGCTTCTATCAGGGTTATAACATTTGATTGTACTGAAGTAGTTTGGCAAAGAGGAGTAAAAGGCTTCTGTGCAAGGCTATATGGTGCAACTGGGTCAATCAAAACCAAGCCTTGCTTACACACTAGTTATTTGTTATCAAGCCTCTGACATATCTACTGCCCCTGTAATGTCGTTCAACACATGTAAACACTATATTAGACGAGAATGAGTGCATTTAAAGATGGCAATTATACAATTTCATCAGCATACAAAAAGCTTACGAAGCAAGTTAGCTTGAGGTAAACAAATAATATTAAAGTCGCATAATATCGGACTAGAGGACAGTTTGATGAGTGAATCAATAAGCATGAGAAAACCACCGAAGGCTCTAATGCATTGAAATCACATGGCTTACATGTTTACTGTTGTTGGATTCACTTTTATACTTCAGGCTGCACCTGCTTGGAAACAGCAGTCTGACTCAGGCTCTGAGCAAAGCATTACTGGTCATATATTCCCAAATAAAGCCTTCACATGCTTGTCTGATGTTGAAAATGTAGCAACTTTTCACTAACTATAAACCGACTCGCGTCTCCTACTCTTAAGACTGCATGTGAAGGTTGTGCTACATATGGATTTGTTTCCTACAACATGTGCTTAACAGCTACTTGTTAACAATCTGCCGGGTTGGTACCGACTCCAGACCGGTTCGCGTAGGAGCCATCAAAGGATTCATGCAGCCATACTCTTGTTGTCAGCAGCGGCCACAAAAAGCACAATGAATAGTATCTAAGGTTAATCACCAGCGAGTAAATACTGTGAATGTTTCAGTGCGATGAGACCACAAGCACAGTCAAGTAAGCAATTACAACACCGAAATGTGTTGGAAGTACTGCACAGACATTTTAAAGTACTGCGGCGAGATTGTTTGTCTCATGTAGCATCTCTGTTTCTTCGCTCAGTATTGTAAGTACTCAGTGAATCGAAAGACACATTTATGGTTTCAGTACAAAGTGTTTTCTTACTCTACAACATGTACGGTAACAACAGTCATAAAAAGTTAAAACATCAGACATACATAAGGTCCCTTTTTTTAACCTACTCAAGTTATTTTTCTCTCTAATTTGAACCTTTGGTTAATAATATGTGTGTTTCTTCTCTAAATAATGTTTCTGGTAATAAGACTCAAGAAACTGAGTCTACAAGTTTGGTCAGGCGCACAGAATAACACATTTCATTACTTCATTTCACTTTGCCTTTTCCTGTCTCCTTCAAAATAAAATAATTCCTCTTGATGCCTAAGTCCAACCACTAGAAAGTAAGAAGAGCAATGCTAAACTGAGCTTACAGCCACTCCCCCTTTTTTTTATCACCGTGTTCAGGATACGTCCTGCAAATCATTTAAATTATGTAACAGAGTGGAAATTGATGAAGATGAAATGTTATCTGCTCAGGGCGATGCAGAGAGCTAGTACGAAGAATAGAGGTGTTCAGTTGTGCGTAGCAATGAGGCACTGGTCTGTGCTTCCCTCTGGACCTCAGTCACCCATCTGGTCTGTCTACTGGGTCTTCCACACATTGTTAAGTAGTTTGACTACCTCCTCATAGATGACAAAGACTATGGCCACGTCCAAGCACACCCGGCCAAGCCTGGGAACTGTTCCTTTGTAAAAGCTACGGGAAGGACAAGATAAGATAGGGTTATATGGCTTGTCTAAAATAAAAAACATACACAGGGTGCATCAGGATCAGGGTTTAACTCACGCCTGTGGTCCTTCGTGCTTTAATATCTGGAAGGCACAGTCCACTGTGTTTTTGTAGCGATGGGCCTCCAAACCCTACAAACAAACAAGAGTTTCTTTAAAATGGCAGACCGGATGACAGCAATTAAAAATTATCACAGGGTGTATTTCCTACCTGCATCCTGGTCTTCACCACATCCAGAGGCGTGTTTCCAAAGACGCTGGCAGCCCCCGCCGTCGCTCCGAACATCGCTGTTACGATTGGGTGCATTTCTCGTCTGGGGTCGTCACCTTAAAGACCAAATCCAACACATATAAGACATGTATGTTAGGTTAATTCTTAGATCTGGAGTTTGTCCCCAGGTGCCGCACAGTGGCTGCCCACTCCTCCTATTACTTAGGATGGGTCAAATTCTGGGAATTAATTATCCTACGTGAATCAATAATGGATGACTATGCATTAATCAATTGGACAGAGACATTGGATTTTGTGTCTTTGCAGTAAGTACGCTGTCTCACCTTTGTACCAATTGCGCAGCAAGTTCATAACATAGAATCGGATGGCCTGATTGGATCCCTGTTTCAGCACAGTCGCTGTCAGACCTTGATATGTCCCCCTCACACCTAAATGAGTCAGACAGATGTGTTTCATCATGGAGCACAAACCACATGCATATTGGCAATTACAGACTCAGCTATCATTACCAGTAGCCATATGATTGATCCATGCTGTCGTCTTACCCTGTTCTCTGATAATCTCACTGACTCCGTGAAAGAAGCCTCTGTAGCGAGGCCTGAGTGAACACTGGTCATGGATCATCTTCACCTGAAGGACGAGCGTAGAACCATTTCATTAGGTTCATTCAGATCATTATGAATAAAATATGATACAAACAGATGTGGAAAGAGCTCTCTACAGTAGAAGAGATGTGTAACAGCATCCAGCTCCACCGACCTTGAGTGTCTCCATGGGGCAGACAACCAGGACAGCCTCTGCTATACCTGCCCCTAAACCGCACACAAGGCTCCGCGTGTTGTCTAGCCGACCTGTGGCATCTCGCATCGGGTTGCTGAGCATCTCGAACGTGCCAAACCTGTGAAACGTGGTAATGTGATACATTCAAGAATAACAAGGGTCAAAATAAGCAACAATAAGAGAGATTCCACTGTAATCCAAATAACTGACTCAACTGTAGTATCAGTAAACCAGCTCCAGTAAGTAAGTAGTGGTATAGTTGATTAATTGGTTAGTTGACCGACTGAAAATGATAACTTGATATCTCGATAACTGACTCATCCTTAAAAAACAGATTTGATGGTAAGTTTCTCAAATGTGAGAATGAGCTGATTTTTTCTTTTCTTAACATTAAAGTTAATTAAACATTTAAGGTTTTGACAGTTGTTTGGAAAAAATTATGACATTTGATGCGACCACTTGAGCTCTTAGAACTTGCCGTACTATTTTCATGTTTTATTAAGAAGAGAATTATTTTATTAATCCCGAGTTTGCAACCCTGCTGATCTGTGGTGCTATAAACCAAATGTGTTGCATCTCCATTCTGTTTTTTTAGGCTATAATATATATTTTTTACATAAAATCTGTAGAGTAAAAGCCACTGTATATCATGTTTGCATCTTCACCTCACTGCAGACTTGGGTATTGATCCATAGAGCAGGGAGCTGAGACCTCGATACAACCCTCTGAGTCCGTGATCCTGCACAGTCAACTTCACACAGTCCCCTACACACAAACACACACAGACCATCCATGAGTGAGTAATCGAGCGTAAGACTAGCATACAAACCTGCAGACAGCCAGCAGTCACTCGTGTCCCAGTGACCTACCAATCCCTCTGTATCGCGGCGGGTTGGCTCTCTCATCGAGCTGCAGCTGGGTCTTGACGTATTCTGTAGGGAAGGTGATGCAGATCTCTATTCCTCCTGCAATGCCACCTGAGTGAGAGGAGAGAAACACTGCTGTCTGGATTCGTTGACTCACTGTGCACGATTGTTCTTGAATGTTCTGTCAGGAGGAACTTGCAAGCATTTCTATTTTAGTGTTAAAAAAAAATTTGATGGACCCTGAATTGCAGGGTGGTGCTGATGCTAGCTCATTCCTGACATATCTTTGTGTTTTAATTAAATGCTAATGTGGTGTGATTACACAGCAGTGCCCATATTGAGCTAGAAAGAACAGCTGACAGCTACTGAATATATACCTTACTCTATTCAATACGCAGCATAAACATTTCAGCATATTTATAGATGTTCTCAAATGAATAATAATCATAATCTGAGCGCAATAGTAGATACATAAAGAAGAATACACCTATAACTGCCGTAGCATCACTGCTGGCTGAGTGTGTTTTGACCCAGTTCTGCATGGATAGCGTTAATGGGCGACAGACTGAGATTAGGCTGCGCTGTGCAGAGAGCAATAGGCGACTATGACATCGGGAAATCTGCGGGATGAATATTTGCGTTGCAAATCAACCTGCAAGAATGGCCTTTCCTGGATGCGTCATTTTCCTCCCTCCGACCGCAGCAGCCGCCAGGTTTCTCCTCAGCGCGTACGACCGCTGGTGGGCCGGCAGAGAGCCCAGCCCCGCGGCGGCGGCGGCGGCCAGACGCCGGGATGGAGGCGGCTGATGGGGAGCCGAGCTCGGGCATCCTCTCCTGACACCGCCGCTCTCGCACGGCCCCTCACACACCGAAAACGGCTTCAGCAGCGAGGACATTTTGGTCGTCGGTGCTGGTTACAGGATTCTCCCACTTTGGTGATGTGCAATGTCACACAACAACAACACAGGAAGGCGCACCAATGTGACGGCCGAGGGAGCATCAATATTCAAATAGCGGTCAGGTGATGGGCCAAGCCATTGGCTCACCATGCTGCCTAATGCTATTACTCATGTCATGTGACTCTGCAT